CAAGCTTTCTTCCGTATCACCCTTCCTCATCAAGTTTTCCATTTCCTTACTCGAAATGTTCCGTGCTGACACTGACCTTCTGAATGATCGAGGAGTATTGATTGTGCGGTATGTTCGACTTCGATTCCAAAAAACAACTTAATTTTCAGACAACTTTGTCTTCTACTTGATCCAGCTCACATCTTCTTAGCTTTGAGCGTTCTGTTGCTGGAAAAAGAAGAGAATGTCACATTCATTCAGGTGATATATTATATTTGTTTGTCCAAACCTCATTAATGTGTTTTGCCTCTGCGAAGCTATGGCTCACAGAACGGCTGCATTCATTCTAACCGGCTAAAGTCTTCTTTTATAGAAAGTTGTTTCAATGCTTCATGGTGTACTATTAACAGCTACAGAGTTGTTCGTTCTCCGTGACCAACTGAAAGACTTGAAAGATCCAGTATGTAATTAATCTTCATACATCATTGCATAGTTGTTTTCTAGGAAACTGTTCCTCTGTTCGAATGTATTTTCCGATGTTGGTGTCATCGTCCAATTGCTCTACTCGGACTTTGTCTTCTGTCTCAACACTACTCGCAGGCTGAGAAGATAGCTCTGCTGTTATCAAAAGTAACGTTGGCATGATTTCGGATATGATCTGTTATCTATAGGTGGACATCACGTTAGATGTTCTTATTGAAGTGGATAAACTGGTCAGCATGTTGGAGAGTCCTGTTCTAGCCTGTAAGTTGCATATTTCATGGTTGAGCACTTTAGTTAATTGTAACTTTATATAGACGTTCGTATGGATTTACTCTCAAACACCCATCAACGTCATCTGTCAACTGTGCTTTCTGCTCTTCTCATGATTCTTCCTCAATCGGATGCTTTCCATACTCTTCATAAACGGCTTCAAGCTGTTCCTGCTTTAACGACCGTTGGGTACGTCATTTCATTGAATTCTTCAATTCTTTTCAACATCCACAGTGTGAAGGAAAAAATTGCAAACTTGAATTGCTACGAGAGCCACTAGAGAAAGTTAAAATCTTTTTTCTTACAGAAGTAAAGCAGAAGTTGTAAAGGCGAAAGTCAATTTCGATTCTCTCTTCACTTATTTGGATCAAGCACTTCAGCGAAGACAACAAGAGGTTTCCTTTATTATTTCCAATCTGGGGATTCATTAATCTATTTCCAGATCCGTCGACATCATCGGCAGATAATGCAGTCAACGCTCAAGCAACTAACTATTAGCAACTAATTTATACATTTTATAAGTTTTATCCTTTGACCTACGGTTTGAGACTGTGATATTCCTAACTAAGGCCTTATGCATATATAATATTGAAACGAATTACAAATGAACGATGTGTCCATTCTTCGATGTATTCTATTCCATTGCAATAGTGGAAGGCATTTGCTCTACCTTCGAAATTGTTTTAATTGATTTGAAATTCTCTCAAATTTCACGTTTCTCTCAAGCAATCGGGGATTCCCTTGAGCGTCAGATGATGTCATTTGATGACTTCATCTGTTCTCTTCTCTCGAACCCCCCCCCACTCATTCTTAGAGGTTTAGTTTTCTATGGATGGTAGTCCAGGAACTAACGAGCGGTTTGAATATGTAGTTAACTTTCACTCATTCATAAACTAACTCTCTTTCATAGACGTTCCTTAGCAATCTTCATTTATTTTGAATTTTATGAGAATATTTGAGATACATCGGTGAGCCATCAGATAATCCTTCCAATATATTATGTGAGCGTTTTGAGCTCTGATCGCTCAGCTTTAACTTGAATATTCTATTATACGCTAATGTGGACAAAAGAATTTAATTTCTCATAACCAAATTCTCTTTCAGTTAGCATTCGTGTTCAGACATTCTAATTGGGCATTGTCTGTCAAAAACGCCTCAAGCCATTAGCCTGTTAACTCATTTGTAACTTTATTGCTTTTCAAATAAGGTCGTTTGTCTTCCTTAACGTGTGACTCATCTGGATCAGGCGCCAACTTCAAAATTTCCTGCTACCCATGTTTACCCACACATGAGACATGCACTTAGTGACTTCAGACTTATATTTGACTGACGTTGATTTACAGCTGAAAATATGAAAACTGAATAACATCTGGTTATATTTTTTGATATCAAGAAAACATCTCGCGAATATTATGTTTACCATCTATCCATGCTAAGCATAGGTGTGAACATTTGATTAAACCGAATGAATTCCTCTCTCACCACTCTTTCCCGCTTCCACCTTCTGCTTGCAAGCGTCTCGTCTTTCTTTACTCTCAGTTCTTCTATTGATTATGCAAAAAGGCTAACGCCTACTCCTTTTTTCCTATTCAAATGTGTCTATCTTATTAAAGTTTTATTATTTCATTCACGCCTGCCCTAAGTCTCACGTAAATTTGCACGTACAAGGCGGAGTTTATTTTCACTCTTTCGCGGCTAGATAGCGGTTGTTTTTTCTTGAATCATCCCACGCGTACTCTGTTTCAGCCTTTTTTCACGTCCGAGCTTGTTACTTTTCGGTATTCCACAACATTTTTTTTTTCATGAAATATGTGCGCGTAGCCTTTTTGGGAATTCGCTTCTAAGTACTGCTGTGGATAAACGACTTCCTGTTGTTTCTTGTTCTCCCCGTGGCATGTCGTAGTTATCTTACATTAAACTTAGTTTCTCTTGTCAGCACTCAGATGCTTAATATAGTTGTTCTGCTCAAGATGAATTTATTGATTAACTTGTTGAGGTGGAAGCACTGCGTCCGAGAAAACAAGAGGATTGAAACCAGCTTATTTCGAAGATTATATTATCAATAAGCATTTTTTCAATGACCTTCTCGATGTTTTCCTGCCCACTAGCCTGTGTACGACATCTTTACTGATTTGTGTAAAATGAAAATGTAACCAAATAAAGCCCTTAGGGAAAAAAGAATAGCTGAGATAAGCTTTCGTTCTGCTTGTGCGGCTGTTTTTCCTCACATCTCTCCTACATCTACACATCTACATCTTCTTTCTTTGAAGTTCCAGCTCTGGCGAACTCAAAGTTTCTTCCTTATTTCCTTTTTTGTGATTCAATTCAGTTGTAGCACCTCCGGCTGCATATGATTCATATGATTATAAACATGCCAGTATCGCTCAGTATCACCAATTTCCGATTATCCTTTCAAATTGCTGAGCTAAAACTTCAGTTGAAAATCGATGTGGACAGCCTTAAATTCTGCCAATCATCATGCAACCACATACATGTCGTCCCATTGTGAATACCCGTGTTCTAAGTTTTCAAAAATTCCGTTTGAAGCCTTTACGCGCGTGTTTGAACAATAATTTACAACATAAATTGCAGTTTTTTGTTTTATTCTTCTTGCCTTCTCAATAAGATTTGCTTCCGGTGTGCTCTTCGATCTGATGTATAGCCACGCTTCATTTGCCATTCTATCCATCTATTCACGGCCAAGTTTTGAATATAAAGACATTCCATATAAGGCGTTTCTTATTTGCATGTTTGCAGATGTAGGAGAAAACGGAAGAAACGAAGAGCAAACTTGTCCAGAGTTCTTCTCTCCTACCCTAATTGGATGTAATGAATAATCGCTTAGACCAGCAACTATTAGTATACTTTAAGACGAAAGCTGTGTGTCGCTTCTTCGACAGCAGCTATTCTACGGAAAAAAGCACTTGGGAATCGTATTTCTGAACATTTTCCGCAATCAATTTTTTCCAGCAGATCTTCTTCGCATGTTTATTTATCATCATCCATCATTCCAGTGCAATCTTGCTCGCTCTCATTAGCATAAAACACATTACACGTGGAAAACGCGTGTAACTTTCATTTGAATCTCAACGTCAATCCACGAGCAGTTGGTTTTTCATTTTCTATTTCCAATTTTCCTGTTTTTCCTATAATTTTCACACAAAGTTACTTTTATTACTCAACTTATATTTCTCAAAATCCAAGCAGACAACCCTTTTTGTATCGGCTGTGAAATTTCATTAATACTTTTCCATTAGTTTTCAACTAGGAGGTCGGAGCTGCCAGTCTTTCTTAATAGCATCAGCCACTGCGACATTTCTAATCTGCGAGACCGATATCTAACTAATCTAATAAACAAACTGCTACTGAGTTAAGCTTGCCAACTTGGCTTATAAGTTTTGTGTGTATGTAGGTGGTGTATGTTGTCGTAGACACAATCTTGCGCTCTGCCTCATTTTTTTATGGAATTGGCGCATATAACGTGCCCACAACAAATACGTCAGCTCTCCTCACCGGCGGGATATTCAGAGCTTTGAGCTTCTCAATTATATTGTAATTGTAACTCACCTATTATGCTTAACTTGCTTGACTACAATTCAAATTTTACTCGCAGTCAATGCATTGTTTAGAGCCATTTTGCTTAGAAATATTGGCCGTTCCTCTTGCTTCAATGCCTATTTTTTTAAATTAAATTAATTATTTTTTTGTCACAGGCTCTTAAGTTTTTAATCCGCTAAAAAGGGCTTTTCACTTCGTTAGTGTATTCCGAAGAGCTGGCAATTCGTATGTTTTTCTTCATGGCATTGAATCATAAGAAAAGCTGGAGTAAAATAGACCAATCTACTTAGATCCAGTTCTTACACACGTTTTCTTCCCCAATACACTGTCCTTGTTCTTCACTTATCTTGTTGAGTTTGTCACTGATTAATGTTTATCACTGAATACTAACTATACTTCCAATGTTTCGAGATTCCTTTTTCGATTCGCTTGAGATTATGCATGCGCTGGTCTCTTAGGTTCTTCGCTACTCTATTCCGGGAGACGGGGTCTTCAACCTCCCTCAATGCCTTGCGCTTTCTTTTACTTTCGCTTTCCCTCGTTTGCTTTCCTCCTCCTCTGCTATCCAGTGAGCCTAGTTGCCAGCCGTCGTCCGGCTAGCTGTCTTTCTTCCTCTCTGCCTTTAGCAGCATCGCATCGATCCTTCGTATTCATACATAGACCCGTCCGTTGAGCTTGGAGCTCTACCCAGCTTTGACGACAGCTTTACTTGTATTCATCCCTTTCGTAGTGCTAATGATTGCAACAACGCTTAATGTTTGCTCTGTTTCTATTTCCTGGTAGTTTAAGCATCTATATGTTTCATCAGTCATTTCATAATGCGGCTTCCATTTAATCTCGAATTTTGAATATTTTGTGATGACTTGTGGAGAGCTTTTTTCATTATTCATCTGTTTGCAACAATTTGTCTTCAACTCATTACGACAAGCTCAATAGTAGAAAACAGGGGATGCTCTGCTGCTTGAAGCCGCTCATCTCCGAGTATTTATTGCAACAAAAAAAACACATGTTCTGTTGACGAAAGTTTAGAGTTATGCGAAAGTTCCACTCTTGGCCTTGGCCTTGTTCTTTTGTTTTTTTGGTTGATTAGTCATCCATCTGTAGCTTTATCTTTTCCATATCACAGTGATAAAGACGTTCTCGTGTAAGCATTACTTCCCAAATCGATAACTGCCAATAAAAAAACGAGTCCCCGTGACACCTGACTTAATTCATCCTTTCCTGCACGTTCCTCTCCAAACTTACGAGACATTATTACGCTTTGGTATTTCTTTTCGTTCGATTTCTTCAATCCTTTTCACACTCCTCTTCTGGATTATTTACCACATAGAGAATCCTTTTTCGGAAGATGTGTTTTTTGCGCAGTTGCAGCATCTGCTTTTGATGGCTTTTTCATACTTTTTTGTGTGCTTTCTCCTTCTTTGAGTAGCCCTTTTTATGTCTCCATGATTAACGCCTTGAATGAGATGTGGGCCTTCATTCATGAGCATAGTTATTTTTTTTTATTTAGAAATCCTTAAACGGAGATGTGAAAATAAGAACGAGCATTAACTTTTGCTTTGCTCTTTTTATATTTCATCTTTATTTACGCTTTTTGCCGTTCCAATCATTTTGCTCTCTTTTCATTCTAGTGTTTGTCCCTCTTCTCTATCACATACTCACACAACGGTTGCATTCTATCTATCTATTGCTCTATTTCTCATTTTCTCCATTTTCCTTTCCACACTCAATTTCTCTTTTAGTTCTTCTAATTCTGTCTAGTGTTGAAGGGACAAACTAGACTTTTCACGACATGTGCTCGTAGCTTCAAGAGGAGATACTGTTAATCATTTTATAGACTCACAGTCATCTCTGCTCATCACATAATAGAGAGCGCCAGTCTTCTCATGAATTATTTTGGCTATGTTTACTCTCTTTCCATTCGGTTCTCCTTATGTCTTTCTAATTGTTAATGACACTTTCACGTTGTTGTATGTTTTAATGATGTTTGTAATGTTCCATAAGTTTACATTCTTTTTCATTCCGACGAAACTTGCGCCATTTCATCCTTACCTGGTTTTCATTACTACGGCAGGAAGTATCTCTCAAAGCTTAACCATATGAGAGAAACTGATTTCTCTCTGCTTGCTTCAGCTGTGTGGGCAATCCTTAATGCAGCGTCGTATGACATTAGTATTATTTTCCAAAGCCTTTTGATACTTTGTTGTCCTTTGATAGAAACTTCTTTTTCTCCTATCCATCAGTTACTCTCCTTCTCTAAGCTATCCATTTATTCGCACAAATGCGTCATTCTGCGTTTAAGAAGCTTTGATATTGCATTTTTCTCGACTATTGGAAAAGCTTTCTGGACTCTCCTTCAAATCATCTTTCTAGTCCCATACAACCCCAGGGATTGTGAATTGCTGGAGGGCAGCTGCAGACACAAGAAAAGAAAAAGGAGAGTCCTGCAGACTAAAGAAAATGCTTCATAATGATTCTTTTCGGTAGCTCCATAGTCTGATTCATGAGCTTTTTGTGCCCTTAATAGCTCTTGTCGGTTTTTCCGTTCGTCACACTGCTTAACCATCTAATTTTATGTCTGCAATATCTATTCATCTACTTTTTCTTGTTTTCATGCCATATTTGGAATAAAATTCAGGTCGAGAACGCACTAGGTCGTAGCTAGTGTCTGACATAGTGTTGCTTGTATCGACAAGTTTTTTCAGTTCGTTCGTTCGTTCCGAACAAATTACGCGTTTTGGACGAAAAATCGCACAGACTTTTCACTTTCCTCGTGTAGTTTATCAAATCGCAACCTTTTATCAGTTTGTTTTTGTTTCATTGCGTCTTGTCTGTTTCTCACTTTCCATATTTTCTTTTGTGATTTATTTGCCAACAGAAACAGATTGATCAACAGTCTGATTCATCCTACTCATGTCGTTACAATGCTCATCATTGATACTTTGCATAATATGTCGTCGTCTTTTATATGTTGTCTAGAACAAACGTAAGAATCAATTCATAGTGCTTTCAGTTAAACTTATACTAACACATCCACATTTGTACGAAGAGTAATCATGTCGTTATCAGGCTTACGGAAACAATTTAATAAAGCTAATCAGGTTTGGTGTTGTCTTACATTCTCTTTATTTCATCTCTTGCTAATTCAGTATTTATCTGAGTCCATGGGCGCCGCTGAGCCAACCAAACTTGATGAAGTTTATAATGAAATGGAAAAGGTACAACTCTCTCTCTCTCAATTCTCTCTCAATTTCACATTCGCAACGTTCAGAATATTGATACAACTTACGAACTGATTAGCGCACTTGTAGCTGGAGTAAATGAATATCTACAACCTAATCCAGGTAAGGTTTTCCTTAGCATATGATCGATTGCAAACTAGTTGAAGCGGCATGATTTCCGCAATACTATGCTTTTATGATTTCAATAGACGATGCCTGAAATATGCATTTGTTTTTCAGCAACCAGAGCCAAAATGGCTACTATGGGTGCTCTTTCCAAAGTCAGCGGTACTGCTAAGACTTCTCCTTATCCTCAAACAGAGGGAATCCTGGCTGAGACTATGCAAAAATATGGGCAAAAGCTTGGATCAGCTAGTGATTTAGGAAAAGTAAGGCTTGAACCTCATACTATGATAAACCAGTGATTCAGGCTTTGGTTGATTGCTCTGAAACATTCCGACAAATGGCGGATGTAAAATATCAAATGGAAGATAATCTGAAACAGAATTTCATTGACCCCCTGACTCATCTTCAGAACAATGAGTTGAAAGAAGTTAACGTAAGTCATGACTGACATGCTTGTGCAAGCTAATGGCTATTCCAGCATCACCGAACTAAACTGAAGGGTCGTCGACTAGATTATGATTGTAAAAAAAGACAACAAAGACGAGACGAAGAAATGATCCAAGCGGAAGAAAAGTTGGAAGAGTCTAAAAGACTCGCTGAAATGGCTATGTATAATGTCTTATCTAATGACGTATGCTTTGCTTCTTATGTGTTCAAACTTATTCTTTCCGTCTGTAGGTAGAACAAATCTCTCAACTACGAGCGTTAGTTGATGCCCAACTTGACTTCCACCGTCAAACAACTCAAATATTGGAAAATCTTCAGATGCAACTCCAAATGAGGTAGTTATTCCTTCAACAACCGACAATAAAAGATCCTTGTAGAGTTACCGACGCCAGTGGACGTCCTCGTCAAGAACACTGCCCTGTCGCCGTCCTTCAATCTCGTACCCCACGATCAAGGTATCAAGTTTTATCGTGTTAGAGAAAACATTTTGATTTCAGATCTCCTGCTTTCGATAGTGCCCCAACTAATCCCTCCGTCTCTATGACCAATCCGTCTTATGCCCAAAACGGCGCTTCTGCTAACTACAGTTCTCAGCCTGCTTCAGTTCCTCAGAAACCTTCCGCTAAAGCCCTTTTCGATTTTGATGCCCAGCATGAAGGAGAAGTAAGTGAAGTTCGAATGTATATTTATGAACATTGTGTGTTTCAGTTGGATTTCAAGGAAGGAGCAGTGATTGAGCTCGTATCGCAAGTAGATGAGAATTGGTTGGAAGGACGTGCAAACGGGAAGACAGGGCTATTTCCCATAAATTATGTTCAGATCATAGTTCCTCTCCGATAACATGTCTCAAAAGATATACAAATTTCTATGTAAAATTCCAAATTTAGCTTGCCACAAGATGTAATTTATGAACGTTTTAGTCATCGTGCCATCTAGTTGATTTTCTGTGTAATTTGTGATTTTCGCAATAACCCTCTCGGAGCATTTAGACCCTCACAAGCTTTTACTAATAGACCTGAAGATTTTTATTTTTACAAACACTAACTAACTTGTAGACTTATAACTTATTTTCTCTACTTATTCATCCATTAATTTATTTATTTGATGGTTTTTTGATCATCGCATGTCACTTCACTGTAAAATACAATGCATTTTTGCATTTTTATTCCATCTATTAAGTAGATATCATTTTTAAAGTCTTTATAAATATTTGGACAATTAATTGATGTCTTTGCATGGGTCACGACTCTATCCACTACCTACATCGATAGGATATGGTTTCTCGATGATGCTCAGACTTCTAATCTCCTTAGTAGTTGGGTACAGGGTTGGGTTGGAAACTTCAGATGAATTTTGATGTTGATAACTGTCTATAGCCTGAGCACAAGTTCAATGTTCGATCAGATGAAGTTGAGTCTAGTGTGTATTCGTACCAAGACTCGATGATGGAGACTGAGTGTGAGATGTATGGTAAGATTGAAAAAAAAATAAAAGAAAAGACGTTTATTGTCGTTGTATGGCATGAAATGCTTGGGTTGCAGTTATATACAAGCAATCTCGGTTGATCTTCT